TGGTATATATACACAATGAAATTCTATGCCTCCATTAGAAAGAATGACATTGCTCCATTTGTCAGGAAATGGAAAGACTTGGAAAAAATTATATTAAGTGAAGTAAGCCAGGCCCAAAGCAACATAGGTCCCATGGTTTCCCTTATTTGCAATAACTAGTATATGTCTGAGTGAAGCAGAAAAGGTCGGATAAGTTGATGTTAGGGAAATGAACCCTAAGATATATATTCAAATGGTTTTTTTTTCTTTCATGTGATTGTTTCTAACACATTTATAAGATTATTTCTTTGGGGGCTGGGAAGGTGGCTCAGTGGTAGAGCACTTACCTTGCATGCCTGAGGCCCTGGGTTCATTCCTCAGCACCACTTAAGCAAAAAAGAAAAAAGCGGAAGTGGTGTTGTGGCTCAAGTGGTAGAGTGCTAGCCTTGAGCTGAAGAGCTGAGAGACAGCACCCAGGCCCAGAGTTCAGGCCCCACAACCGGACCCTCCCCCCCCAAAAAAGATTATTTCTTTGTTGCTTTGTATGTCCTGCCCCCACAGTATAACACCTGCTTTCACTGTATTTGATGTCGGTATAATTTGTGGAGGGGAAGGGAAAAAACAAATCATTTAAATAGGGATACAGGTGGACCCATTGCAACAATGAGATATACAAGTCATTACGTTGAAAATGAACTTTACAACTTTGGGGGGGGGCAGGCCGCGGGAGGAGGATTGGGGGGGCAGGGGGGGGGGGAAGAATGGGAAAGGATGGGAAGGGGAAACAAAGGAGGAGGCTAAAATCTTGATAAGAAATGTACTCATTGGGGCTGGGAAGGTGGCTCAGTGGTAGAGCGCATGCCTTGCATGCCTGAGGCCCTGGGTTCGATTCCTCAGCACCACATAAGCAAAAAAGAAAAAAGCCGGAAGTGGCGCTGTGGCTCAAGTTGTAGAGCGCTAGCCTTGAGCTGAAGAGCTGAGGGACAGCGCCCAGGCCCAGAGTTCGGGCCCCACGACCGGATCCCCCCCCCCAAAAAGAAAGAAATGTACTCATTATCTTGCCCATGTAATTGTAACCCCTCTGCACAGTATTTTCACAATAAAAAAAAAAATCAGCTAGTTAGAAGATCATAGACTGTCATCATCTATACTACACTAGTTATTTTCTCATTGCTGTGGACAAATGCCTGTCAGAAAACCTCAAGAGAGGGTTCAATCCATGGTTGGTTGGTCCCATGCACTTCTATGGGACATTACAATAGTAGGATCACGTGAAGAAGTAAAGTCTTCAGACAGAATGAGGGAGGAGGGGAGAGAGAAAAGGAAGGAGGGAGGGGGAGGGGGGCAGACTAGGTATGACCTTCAAAGGCACATCCTCCAGTAGCCTATTTATTCTCAGTAAGCTCCACCTTCTGAAGTTTCTAAAATCTCTCAAAATAATGCTATCAGCTGAGAACCAAACATTAAAACCATGGTCCTGTGGACAACAGTCTATAATCAAACCTCACCATTGCATCCCTGGCTCCCAATCACTTAATAGCCATTTTATAATGAATAATATATTCAGTCCGTCTCCAAGAGTCCTGAATGTTTTAACACTTTTGAATCATTGTTTAAAAAACCCAAGCTCAAAGGGGCTGGGAAGGTGGCTCAGTGGTAGAGCACTTGCCTTGCATGCATGAGGCCCTGGGTTTGATTCCTCAGCACCACATTAGAAAAAAGCTGGAAGTGGTGCTGTGGCTCAAGTGGTAGAATGCTAGCCTTGAGCTGAAGAGCTGAGGGACAGCACCCAGGCCCAGAGTTCAGGCCCCAGGACCGGACCAAAAAAAAACAAAAAAACCCAAGTTCAAAGTCTTGAGAGTAAAGGCAAATTTATAACTATAAGTCCTTGTAACAACTAAAAAAAAAACAAGTTACATACTTACAATATACAATAACAGAGTAAATATTTCCATTCCAGGGCTGGGAAGGTGGCTCAGTGGTACAGCACTTGCCTTGAATGCCTGGGGCCCTGGGTTCAATTCCTCAGCATCACATAAGCAGAAAAAAAAAGCCTGAAGGCGCTGTGGCTCAAGTGGTAGAGCACTAGCCTTGAGCTGAAGAGCTGAGGGACAGCTCCCAGGCCCAGAGTTAAGGCCCATGACTGAACACCCCTCCCCCGAAAAAAAAAATCCATACCAAAAGCGAGAAATAGAGCATAGAAAAGTGGAATGGACCCAAACCAAGACTGAAACTCAACAGGGAGAACACTAAATTCTACAGCTTCATGTTCAGCATCTGGGACACAAGGTGTTGTAACATAAACTTTAATGGGCTAAGGCATACCCATCTCTACGTCCTTGCGAGATGCAGTCCACATGGCCTGTTCCCTCTTGGTCTGGCTCCTATATTGATTAAAGTGACTTGTGTCTAGTTGTTGGTATGACTGTTTTTTTGTTTTGTTTTTGTTTTTGACAAACATCCTCTCAGATGTGATGTCCGGAACTTGGGACTAGTGTGTGTTTGGGAAGTGACCGTTTGTGCATTTCTAGTTAGCTGTATGTGTGGTTCATCTTTAAGGGATAAGTTTTAGTTAGAGTTAATGCTTAAGAATTAGAATAGGAGCTGGGTGCCAGTGGCTCATGCCTATAATCCTAGCTACTCAGGAGGGTGAGATCTGAGTATCCACGTTCAAAGCCAGCCTGAGCAGGAATGTCCCCGAGACTCTAATCTCCAATTAACCACCAGAAAACCAGAAGTGGCACTGTGACTCAAGTAGTAGAGCGCTAGCCTTGAGCTGAAGAGCTCAGGGACAGCACCCAGGCCCAGAGTACAAGACCCACAACCAACAAAAAGAAAGGAAGGGAGAAAGAGAGAGAGAGAGAGAGAGAGAGAGAGAGAGAGGGAGAGGGAGAGGGAGAGGGAGAGGGAGAGGGAGGGAGAGAGGGAGAGAGAAAGAGGGGGAGGAGGGGAGAGAGAGAGGGAGAGAGAGAGTGAGCGAGCTAGAGAGAGAGAGAGAGAAATAGCCAGGTGCTGCTGGGAGGCAAAATGATCTTTAGTTGGAGATCATCAAAGGACCTCAAAAAGAAGAGAAGAAAGAGGAGGAAATGAGGGAAAAAAGAGGAGAATGAGGAGAACAGAAGAAGAGTAAAGAGGAGCTAGATTGGCTATTGGAGAGATGGACTATTACAGATCAACACAGGGCCTCAGTAGGAGGGCACTCTTAACATTTGAATCATGCCTCCAGGTCTACTTTTTGTGAACCATTTGGAGATAGAATCAGATTTATCTTGCAGGGCTGGGTATGAATCACAAAAGATTTTAACTCTAAGTGTCTTAGAGGCTTGAGCCACTAGTGCCTGGCTTATTTTAAGTCTTTTATCTTTTATCTTTTGTGTCTGACCAAACATTCTAATGTATTATTAAGCTTAGAAAACCTCTAACTTGGGCTGGGAAGGTGGCTCAGTGGTAGAGTGCTTGCCTTGCAAGCCGGAGGCCCTGGTTTCGATTCCTCAGCACCACATAAGCAAAAAGAAAAAAGCCGGAAGTGGCGCTGTGGCTTGAGTGGTAGAGTGCTAGCCTTGAGCTGAAGAGCTGAGGGACAGCGGCCAGGCCCAGAGTTCAAGCCCCACAACCGGACCCAAAAAAAAAAAAAAAAAAACCTCTAACTTCTATCTTTCTAAAGTTAAAAATGCTATTTAAAGTTACATACTTCCAAAACAACAACAAAAAATGCTATCACCATCTAAAACCTGTAAATTGCTTAGCACTGTTGCAGCCTGTATACCTGGTAATCTCACCAACGTATTTGGTAAAGATATTGATTTATGATGCATTTATTCCATGATGATAAAACTTCATGTAACCTCTTCACATTGTACATGACATTTAGACTGAGTCAAATCTGTGTTCCAAGGCTATAGACACTCATGTTTGGCTTAAAGAAACTATTTTCTCTAAAACAAAAGTGTGATGTAGACAATAATGAATACTGTTTTACATAAAACATGTCCCTATAAAGTCCTATATAGATCTAAATAATAAACTAAGGATACGTAGAAATTTTCAGAATAAAAGCATATAATACCAAATAATTCTGTATATATACCTAAACACCAAAAGCAATAAAACTATAGTTGCAAAGAGCATTTCCCAGCTTGGTGGGACAGTTCTATGTTCCCTTAGAACACTTGGCAAAGCCTAACTGAAGATTTCTGGAGATAACACCCAATTTCAGTTTTAACAGAGTTAAGCCCATCGCATAGGAGATGCTGTGTTCTTGCATTATGAATCCCCAGCAAATACATCTTGCGTTCCGTGTAGTAAACCCGTTCCTTGCAGTACATCTTTAATAAATAATAAGTTCTGCGAGGGCTGGGAAGGTGGCTCAGTGGTAGAGTACTTGCCTCACATGCATGAGGCCCTAGGTTCGATTCCTCAGCACCACATAAGCAGAAAAAGCCAGAAGTGGGTGCTGTGGCTAAGTGGTAGATTAGCTACTTAGGAAGCTGAGATCTGAGGATCGCGATTGGAAGCCAAGCCTGGACAGGAAAATCCATAAGATGCTTGTCTCCACTTAACCATCAAAAAAGCTGCAAGTGGAGCGGTGGCTCAAGTGGTAGAGCACTAGCCTTGAGCACAAAAGCTCTGGGACAGGGCCCAGACAAGCCCCAATACCAGCACCCACGAAAGAAAAAGGGACCGGAGACAGCAAGGCTAGGCTCTGTGTCACAGGGAAGAAAACACCAACGCTGCTCTCCACGAACTTCCTTCAGGAGAGATTTTACAGAGTGATCCTGTGATCTAAACCGGGAATCTCCTTGGCACGCGAAGGCACGAGCGACCTGGGACCAACTCCGGAGCAGTAAACAAACCACTCTGCTCTGGGAAGAAAAAAAAAAATACCAGCCGCACCAGCTGCACTCAGGCGCAACCGCGCTGGGGGGGGAGGGGGGCACGCACGGCGGTGACGTGCTCCCTCCAGCTGCCCCTCCCCTCCCCTGGGCGCAGTGCGCAGGCTCCGCTGCTGGCCAGCACTCAGCGGCGGACGTGGCTCACCCGCAACGTCTCCCCTCACGCTCCGGAGCTCCAGAGCGGGCCGCCGCGGGCCTCGTCCTCTCCCAGCGGTCCGGCCGGCGGCCCCCTACCCCCCTCCCCCTCTCGGAAGCAGCCCTGACCGCCCCCTGTCCGTCGTTACCAGCATCCCCAGCGAGCTCGGGGAAGCGCTAGGCCCTTGCCCGTCCCGGCGAGACCCCCCCCCCCCCCCCCCGGCGTCCACCGCGCAGTGGGAGTATGGCAGCCTCGGGGGTGGAGAAAAGCGGTAAGAAGAAGTCCGAGAAGAAACTTGCTGCTCGAGAAGAAGCTAAATTGTTGGCAGGTTTTATGGGCGTCATGAATAACATGCGGAAACAGGTACCGCCTCTGTGGGAGTGACGGCCGGCGTGGGGGGCGGGGGTCGGGGCGCAGGCCCAGGCGCCCGGGCCGGGCCGCGGGCCGCGGGCCCCGGGCACGGTGGACCCTCCTCTCCCCGCCTGCTCGGCCGCTCGTCCGGGCGGGATCTGGTGGGAGCGGAGGGGGGCGCTGGACGGTTCTCGAGCCAAAGCGCCTCCGCCGCTGTGGTGGCCTGCGAGTCCGACTCCCGGGATGGCGGGGGGCTCGGGCTGGCCGGGCGTCGGGTGCGGGTTGTGTAACAGACCGCTCTGCCCTAGTTATCTCTTTGTGAAGCGAGCAGCCTGCCATTTGGCGAGCCCTGCGTAAGGTGGAGCGAGATCTTGGGGCGGGGGGGGGGGGGCGGCGGAGAAGCGCCCAGCTGGCATAGCCCGATCCGCAGCCCCCGGGGGGGACGGGCTGCCGGCCTGGCAGTCAGCTGCTCTTAAGTAAGGATCCCGCCCCCACCGCCTGCGCTACCCAGGTGGAACTAGTTGGCGACAACCCTCCTTCCTGTACGTGTTCATTCAGAGCAGAAACAGCCATTGGTAAATGCCATCTTGGAAGGGACATGGGGTTATTAAAGAGGATGTCTTTGTTCTGTCTTTGATGTGTGGTGCGTTCTTGAAAGTCTGCGGCACGTCAGCGGCGAAAGGTGGGTTTGAAAGAACGAGTTTGAACAGTGGAAAAGGTGATTTGGTAAAGGATAGGTTCTGGGTTTGTAGGTGTGTGTTGATTTCATCACATCTGATCCCTCCATCAGCATAGAAAAGTAGTTTACTCACTTTTGGAGTCTCTTGTAGAAAACATACGTGTAAGGAGGTGGTGTAATATTTCTGTTTTGTTGATTGTGGTCCTGTTTTTCAAGAGGAAGAGGTGATGGATGTGAGCAAGACTAAGAAACCTGGTTTGTTCCTTTATCTATTGGTTTCGCTGTGAGTGTGAAGCGTAATAGAGGAATTTAAGGAGCTGCTGCTGCTGCTTCTGCTTCTGCTCCTGCTCCTCCTCCTCCTGCTCCTGCTCCTCCTCCTCCTCCTCCTCCTCCTCCTCCTCCTCCTCCTCCTCCTCCTGCCCCTCCCCCTCTTCCCCCTCCCCCTCCCCTCCTCCTCCCCCTCCCCCTCCCCCTCCTCCTCCTCCTCCTCCTCCTCCTCCTCCTCCTCCTCCTCCTCCTCCTCCTCCTCCTCCTCCTCCTCTTGCTGCTCCTGCTCCTCCTGCTCCTCTTGCTCCTCTTTCTCTTCCTCTCCTTTTATGAAAGCCTTAACTCTTGGTTTCTTCACTCAAATGCGGGCCACAGAGATCGTCTTTATTCACCAACTGCTAGCACAGTGTACTAGTTCAGTAGCTATCTATGGGAATAAATCTCCCCTGGCCCTTGTGCTGAAGTAGCTGTGAATGGCTCGATTAATTATTTTATACAATTTTTCATGTTATTCACATTCCTGCTCTTTCTTTCATGTAACCATTTTGTATTGCTCAAGTCTTTGTCTGCCTGTAAAAGTAGTTGAACACAGTTACCAGTGCTTAAAATTGGTGAAGATTCCTTTATGGAAACCTCCCCCAAAACATATCTTCATCGTGGACTGTACAACTGTAAACCATTACCTCATTCCTTAAATAGGTACAGTGCAACTGGGCTGCAGCTCAGCTGTTTACTTGCAGAGGAAGGAATTGTCTGAGGCTATATGGTTAGCTTTTGGGATTTAAATTTGGATTCACAAAGCTGGAGGCATGGCTCAGCAGTAGCCCTACCAAATGCAAGACATTGAATTCTGAATTCAAACCCCAGTACCACCAATAAGGAAATTAATTAACTCACATAATATTTCTTAGAGTTTGTCTTAGGCCTTTTTTTGGTGAGCAGTACTTACTGGAACTTAAACCCAGTATCCAGGGTTTTTTGTTTTTGTTTTTAAATCTTTTTAAAAAGTTGTAATAATTCCAAAAAATCATACACCACGATCAAACAGGATTCATTTCAGGGATGCAAAGCTGGTTCAATATACACAAATCAATTAATATTATTCATCACATCAACAGGAGCAAGAATAAGAACCACATGGTTATCTCAATAGACGCAGAAAAAGCATTCGACAAGATCCAACACCCCTTTATGATGAAGGTTTTGGAAAAATTAGGAATCCATGGAACATTCCTCAATACAATAAAGGCTGTATATGACAAACCTACAGCCAGCATTATACTCAATGGTGAAAAACTAAAGCCATTTCCTCTTAACTCAGGAACAAGACAAGGATGCCCACTCTCTCCACTTCTCTTCAATCTAGTATTAGAATGCCTAGCTACAGCAATAAGACAAGATGCAGACATAAAGGGGATCCAAATAGGAAAAGAAGAAATAAAACTCTCCCTCTTTGCAGATGACATGATCTTGTATTTAAAGAATCCCATAGACTCCACTCCCAAATTACTCAAGCTGATTCAAAACTTTGGCAAAGTAGCAGGTTATAAAATTAACCCCCAAAAATCAATGGCTTTTCTGTATGCCAACAATGAGAAAAGTGTGGCTGAAATTAGGAAAGCAACTCCATTTGTAATAGCCCCACAAAAAATAAAATACCTAGGAATTAACTTAACTAAAGAAGTGAAGGACCTCTATGATGAAAACTTTAAAATCTTGAAAAAGGAAATCAACACAGAACTTAAAAAATGGCAAAACCTCCCATGCTCCTGGATTGGAAAGATTAACATCGTGAAAATGGCAATACTTCCCAAGGCTATCTACAAATTCAACGCAATACCTATCAAAATTCCACCCTCATTCTTCAAGGAAATAGAAGAGGCAATCCAAAAATTCATATGGAACAATAAAAGACCCCGAATAGCAAAAACGCTCCTCAATGGAAAGAACACTGCTGGAGGAATATCAATACCAAATTTCAAACTCTACTATAAAGCCATAGTAATCAAAACAGCTTGGTATTGGCATAAGAACAGACCTCAGGACCAATGGAATAGAATTGAAAACCCAGAAATGAACCTACAGACCTATAGCCATCTAATCTTCGATAAGGGAGCTAAAACAATAGAATGGAAGACAGACAGCCTCTTCAGTAAATGGTGCTGGCAAAACTGGTTAACTACATGTAGAAAACTAAAGCTAGATCCTTATATATCACCCTGCACCAGAATCAACTCCAAATGGATCAAAGACCTTGAACTCAAAGCAGACACTCTGAAAACATTACAGGATGGAATAGGAGAAACCCTGGGTCTCCTTGGCTCAGGCCGAAATTTTCTGAATAGAGACCCGGAAACACAACAAATCAAAGAAAGGCTGGACAAATGGGATTGTATAAGGTTGCAGAGCTTCTGCAGGGCAAATGACATAGCTAGCAAGATCAATAGAAAGCCCACGGACTGGGAGAAGATCTTTACTAGCCATACAACGGACAAGGGTCTCATATCTAAAATATACTTGGAACTCAAAAAATTAAACCACCCAACAACAAATCCTCAAAGAAACAACTGCCCAATAAGTAAGTGGGCGAAAGACTTAAAGAGAAGCTTCTCTGAAGAAGAAAGAAGGATGGCCAATAGACACATGAAGAAATGTTCAACATCCCTAGCCATAAAAGAAATGCAAATCAAAACAACATTGAGATATCACCTCACTCCAGTTAGAACGGCAAAAATCAAGAACTCTAACAACAACAGATGCTGGAGGGGATGTGGACAGAAAGGAACCTTACTTCATTGTTGGTGGGAATGTAAACTTGTTCAACCACTTTGGAAAGCAGTATGGAGGTTCCTCAAAAGACTCCACATAGAGCTCCCCAACGACCCAGCAATCCCACTTTTGGGCATTTACCCAAATGATCACAAACAAGGCCACACTAAAGCTACCAGCACAACTATGTTTATTGCAGCATTATTTACCATAGCTAAGACATGGAACCAACCCAGATGCCCCTCAGTAGATGAATGGATCAAGAAGATGTGGTATATATACACAATGGAATTCTATGCCTCCATCAGAAAGAATGACATTTCCCCATTTGTTAGGAAATGGAAAGGCTTGGAAAAAATTATATTAAGTGAAGTAAGCCAGGCCCAAAGCAACATAGGTCCCATGGTTTCCCTTATTTGCAATATCTAGTATAGGTATGAGTCAAGCGGAAAAAGTCAGATAATGTGATGTTAGGAAAACGAAACCTCAAGTATGTATTTTAATGTTTTTGTTTCTTTCATGCATGTGTTTCTAACGCATTTATAAGATTATTTCTTTGTTGCTTTGTATGTCCCTCCCCCACAGTGTAACCCCCGCTTTCACTATATTTGATGTCAGTATAACATGTGGAGGAGATGGGGACAAACAAGTCGTTTAAGGATTCAGGTGGACCTGTTGCAACAATGAGAAGTACAAAATGTCATGTCAAAACCAGCTTTACAATGTCGGTGGGGGGGGGGAGGGGGGGTATGATTGGTTGGGAGGGAGGGGGGAGGCTGGGAAGGGAGGTGAAGGGTAAACAAAGGAGGAGGCTGCAATGCTTGGTAAGAAATGTATGCATTATCCTGCCCATGTAATTGTAACCTCTCTGTACAGTATGTTCTCAAATAAAATAAAATAAAATTAAAAAAAAAAAAAAAGTTGTAATATTAAGGTGATGTACAAAGGGGTTACCATTTCATAAGTCAATAAGTTACCGATTTATAATTCAGATAATGAAAAGTCCTATGTTTTGAATTATATTCTCCATCTCCTAGACTTAGCTTTTTAGACTACAGTATCATCTACTATTAAAATAGAAATACAGACCAGGAGCTGGTGGCTTATGCTTGTAATCTTAGCTACTCAGGAGGGTAAAGGTCAGAAGTGGAGCTGTGGTTCAAGTTGTAGAGCTTTAGCCTTGAGCAAAAAGCTCAGGAACAACACCCAGGCCTTGGGTTCAAGCCCAATGACTGGTACAAAAAAGAAAAAAGTAGAAATATGGTTACTAAATCACTGTTACTGAAAAATCAAGGTT